CACACACACACACACAGGGTCAATAAAAGAGAGTCATACTCTCATAAGGGTAGCACAACAAATGATGATAGCGTTAGCATGACACACATGAGCTGACAACAATAACAAACCCAGATGAATTTAGTGATTTGAGAGCGACATTGCTCGAGTTGTAGCATGTCTGTGCTGCCCAGTGTACCTCAGAAACCACAGGTAGGTCCAACTCAAACACTTCACTAACTATTAGCTAGCACTACTTAGCAGCCCAGTGTTGACCTCAATACCTGACTGACCAGAACAAACTAGCTTAGCGAGCCAACAGAGGAAACTCACAGCAGAAACAACAACAACAACAACCCGACTGCCTTTAATGTGCTCATAGACAACTGCAGCGGATTCAATCACCCACCTTTCAGAATAAAGCGTTACTGCCAAACAGCTGAGCACCCAGCTACCAGAGCACCCACAGGCTGAGGAGGAGGATGATGATGAGGAGGAACCATCAATGTTTTATTTCCTCTCTCCCAAACTGACCAATCACAGCAGAGCCGGAAGTAGCCAACAGCCTACTGGAATATTCCTTGATAAACATTTGTTTATTTATTTTACTTTGGACCTGATTGGACCTGATTAATTAGTTTCAAAAGTATTAGGATTTTTACACACAAGCACAGCTCTTGTATTGATCATGTATTGATAGTGTATTTATAATGTATTTATGTTTGAGCGATTTGTCCAAATGACAAATGTTGTAGTTTGCATGTTCCACCAGCAGGTGGCAGCAACTACTAACAAACTAGCCCGAAGCAAACTCTCTTATGTCAGTATTCAATGGTGGTGTGCACTAACTAGAACACGATTGAATGCATTTTGCTCTTAAACAAGTAAGGTGAGAAACTGAACTGTATGTTTAGGGAAATTGATGAATTTAAAGCGCTCTGAGGTCACATTTCGGTGCAGCTCAGCCATTAAAGTTGGCAGGTGAATACATGTGTCTGACAGGGTTCAGGCTTTTTTGCCCGTCGTCTGAACGTCAAGTACAGGACAAGTAGTCTGCGTTGGAACAAATCAAGTCCCCCATTCAAGTGGTAGCAGCCACTGCAGCCCTTCTATTCCCAGACCTACGACTTAGACGCCAGAAAATGCCCACATTTCCCCCTGAAGTAGCGCACACAGCGGAGGGCCAGGCCCTGCAGAGGCTCCTCAGCTCGCCTGGCCCTTCTCATGGTCTCATGGTCTAAATTTAAAGCTGTCCCAGCCTTAAAAGGTCCTGACGGTGTCTTGTGCATTCTGCCGAGTGGCAGCATTATTTTTGTTCTGTGGACTGCCGTCCTGTCCACTGCCCCTCACCCTGCTGCTTTGCCTGGATCTGGACTTGCTTTAGCTACTTTTGGAATAGCACACCCTTTCTCTTATTTACAACTATTGTGGATTGGTGAATTCTTAGTTGTGGTAAGTGATCTATAAACATATTTTTCCTGGTTAATAAGTCTTTCTCTAATACTGAATAATAGTTCTAGTTTATGTCGTTTGGTCTTTTATAATCCTGAAAAAAGGGCCTGAGGCCTTCTTTTAACAACTTTAATCATTTTTTGGTTTAAATAATGTGTTTTAATTCGTACCTTATGCTAACAGGTTTTTTTTTATTTATTTTTTTTATTGCTGTGTCCTTGTAGATTAGACTGCATGTGTCATTGAAGTGAAAATACATCCTAAAAAAAGAGCTTATTTGTTCATTTAACATGTGCATTACTCCAAACAAGACGTTTTTGTGACTCAGATCTTCTCTTAATAAACTCTGTGCCCTCATGGCTTCCAGTCCAGTTTACAGTTTGTAGCTCTTCACAGATAAAGAGGCAAACAGTACGCTGACTGTTCCTGGTGTTGCTCAAAGGCATAACAATCAGAAAATACATTTCTAAAACTGCAGATCTAATAATTCCCTTATTGTTGTGTGGTCACATGATGACGGGCCTGTTCCCAGTGGGAGCTGCTCATGTTTTCAAGCTGTGTAACTTAAGTAGTGCCTACTAGAGTTGAATTATTAATCAGTGGATTGATTGGTGAATCCACATACACTTTACACTCTTTTTAAGCACTTTTCTACCTTCTCTAAAGTGTATTTTTGCTTGTTTTCAGTCACAACTGAATACTTTTGGACTATAGAGTTGTGCTTGAACAAAACAAGCAATTTTGCACAAGTGGACATTGACATTGGAATTAAGATTTGAAGGGTATTTTTTACTATTTGTAAACCAAACCATTATTTGAATAATCACTACCAACAACAACCTTAATCAACAATGACCACCATCATTAGTTGCAGCCTCCACCTAACAGAGTGTAACAGGTATTACTTTTAAGTGTATATCAATACTTTTTTGACCAAAGCTTCATGAGAAATTCCCAAACACAACATCTTACCATCAACCACTGGATTACATAACACCACTTTAATATCATATTACTTTTATAATTCCTCCTGTAGCGGTGACTCTCATTTAAATCACAAAACCAAGATTGTGAAAAGTGTTGAGACATCGATGCTGCCACAGTTTATTTATTATCTGCTGCTTCTTCATTTAGCACAGTAGAAGTAGATCTTAACCAGAGCTAACGCCTTAACCGCTCACAGAAAACTGAAAATCATGACGCCATCTTAACAACTGGGTGCCTAAACCACCATCCCTAATACCTAATCGCCATCTCCTGCTCTAAACTAACCTCCCAATTCAGAAATCAATCTGTAATAATAACGATGAGATTGATTTACAGAGCTGGTAAAGTAAAGGAAAGTCTGACATTATAAGTTGGCGGACTGGCCCTCAAGATGTCAGAATCATTACAAGTGATGCAGAAGCAGCGGCTGCAGCAGCATCATCTTCATCAACAACAGCAGCAGCAGCAGCATCACTATGAGAGCAGCTATTACCTGAGCACCAAGTCATCTGTTAGCCAGCAGGCGTTCTCTACTTCCAAGACCACCAGTCGTCGGTAAGAGGATGGGAGTGGAGCAGACGCAAGGTCCAAAGTACTTGTTTGAAAACTGTAAAGGTCTTCCTTAATGTAACCTGTCACTTTTGTAGCCTCGGAACTGATGAATGCATTCAAGCAGACCTCTCTCAAATATTCAACACACTACTTTGAGTCCGCTGTGATTAGTGTTCAGCAGCAGGAGAGAAAAAGACATGCAGCTCAAAGTGTGTTTTAAATGGAGAGCAGGGGCTGTCTGTCTTCATCTGCCCAGAGATGTTCATCTTTTAAGGATGATGGGTTTTTGTATTTTTATAAGGAGATCATTCTCTTTGAGGCTGCTGCAGAACAGCCTTTTTTAAGCCTCTTTGGCCGAGTTAAGTCTTAATATGCAAATTACAAGTCAGGATAAGAGTCTCTCAGGTCTCTCAGGTGTTAATTAATACCAGCGTTTGTTTTCAAAGCTATGTTAATGGTGTTTTTACAAAGTGAGGCATTTCAATGCATAGGCCTTGTAATTGAATATTCAAGCTGTAAGGTTATGTGATGGCTGTGTGACATTGCCTTCGTTAATTTTCATTGTTTCAGGATTTTACCAGGTCAAGTGTGTTTTTTGCTCTCAGTTTTTAGATCAGTTGAGGTTTTTAGGGAATCGAGTTTTAAGTAACTTAAATCTTAAAGTGGTCAAGAGTTAAGTCTGAGTCTAGTCCAAATCTCAAGTCTTCAGCTTTGGGGTGTCGTAATATTTGTAAGTATTGGATCAATGTGGCAATAGTATTATTCTTGTGCATTTGACAAAAAGAGCACATAATGTTTATAAATTTTTATTTGCACCATTTTAGAGTCAAACGCTAATAAGCATCTCCAAGTATTAGCCTGTTACAGTACAGTATACAGTAATGCAAATCCTAGTGAATCAACTTCTCCAATGTTTTTTCTATGATGTTAAATTAAAATATCTTTGACTTATGGCCAGTATAATTTAAAGATGTCAACTTGCATATTGCACTGTGCCTTTTTCACAGCTTTATAATATTTTAGAGACCTATCACTCGATTAATCTAGAAAATAATCAGCAGATTAATCAATAATGGAAATAACTGTTATAGATACATAAAGATTTCCTTATTATCCTTTCCAGCCTGAAATGTATGCCACAGGTCTGCTCAGGAAATAACATTGCAGCAATCCTATAAATTCATAATTATACATGGCCACCACTGGTAACACTTTTTTTTTTAATCTCATTTCGCTTCTGTGTGAAATTCTTAAAATCGAATGAAGCTTGATCAAAGTATACTCTAAGTCTAGTATAAGTGAAAGCGGTACTATCTATCAAAACACGTCTGTATGTAGTATGCATGTTCCAGTGTGTCCCTTGTCAAAGTGTAATATGGTCAGAGTTTGTTTGTCCTTCAAGCTGCAAGGCTTGGTGTACATGTTGGAACCATGATGGCTTTCTAAATAGGGTCAGCGAAGGAATTTCAGCTGTAGTGAAGGGCTGCCAGACATATTCATGGACAGCCAAGCTATTTCTGTAGGCAGGACATGAGCCGTTGCTATTAGGCCAACTGTAAAGCCACTGTATGGAAGTCATGAAATTGTAAACGGTTGTACATTGGCTTCCACAGACATTTAATAGTTAATAACCCTTGTGCTATGGTGCATATGTACCAGTCAAGTTTATTGTTAGTGTTATTCTCCTTTAAAGATGTGTAACTAGCCCTTCAACAGAAGAAATTATTGATTGCATAAAAGTTTCCATATGGTACTTTTATTATTTAACTCTTAAGACAGACACATGCTGCTTTTATCAGCAGTAAAACTTTTTATAGCTTTGACTTTCTTACACACTGAACCAAAGACTTCTTCTGAACACACCTGGTGAGTCAGCAGCAGACAAAAACTTCTTGACTCTGCAGAAATCTTTTGAGACTCTCTCCATCTGGCTGTGTCTGCTGTGCGTTCAGCCCCTTGCATCGACTTGATCCCGCCTTGTCAGTGTGGAATAGAGTTTATCAAAGCCACATACTGCCGCTTCTCCTTTAGGCCAAATGGATAGACTGGGGCAGACTTGATAGAGATTATGTGTAAAAGCGGGGCTTTACAATGAACCTTTCCCCCTGCTGTTTATCCACCAGTTCCGGCTCCATTTATAAACCCAGCTGACAATAGGGAGGCCTGAGGAGCCAATAGGTAAATGAGTCATATGGTAATAGTAATATGGGCCAGGGTCCTAGAGGGTGGACAGAAATACATCTACCATTTCTGAATAACTGGACCATGCCATCACATGAATGTGTATGTTTCATGCTGAGTATCATTATTTAGCAGCTTTGAATTCCTTCTACAGTATGTGTTACATTTAAATAACTTGGTCTACTACTGGTTCAATCAATTGCATGCAAGTGTATAATGTCTAATTTATCCAAACGCAGTGCTCTAGACACGTTTCTATTGTCTCTGGCTTATCTTGGACTCATGGGTAGTTGCACTCGGACTTGTCTCGGGCTTGGCCACTGGTCTCGCCAGATATTCTCGTTGGTCCCGACCGAGTCCGCCAATATATGGCTTTTTTTCCGAAGTTCCTCCTTTTAAAACAAAACCACTGATGAAGCATGTTGATCAGAAAATGGGTATTGGTTTAAATTCAATATACATCTAGAATTGGCTTTGACAATGGCGGCCAATCAATGTCACTTGCAAACGTATACCTGGCTTTTCTGTCTCTATCATTTGGACTCTCATTAATCCTGATTTGAACTCAAACCTCTTTGGACATGGTCTTTACTCGGCCTCGACTCGTCCTGGTCTTGGACTAAATAGTTAGTAATCAGTTTACAGTATAAGAATTGAGTTAGTAGCTTCTGTTTTATCTGCTTACAGTGCCATAGTTTAAAGAACAAGTGAACCATTAGTTACAAGACGGTAAATTTATTCACAAATATAGAGTTTTATTTTTTTTAAAGGCTCAGTAATTTCCCAAAACAGCTGGGCGCTGCAGTTTGTAGCAAATATTACTTAGACAGAAATTAATAATGTATATGTTGGGGACTGTTTTTAGCTGCAGAGTAATACAAATTAGTATTTACAGCAGTAGTGATAATGACAAAACATGTCACCCAGTGCAACACTGTAGCTTATTGATGTGTTTTTAATTGTTTTTGACAACAATGAAGGTTTATGGCACAGAGGAATAAGATATATC